AAACTTGTCAAACATTAATAATGAGAATTATTCATTAAAAAAATTTGGATAATTTAATGAATATTCAACAAGATCTTTTTATATTAAGACAGCTCATTATTTCATGGATTGATATTTTTTTAAACTTTTCTTTCAGGGAAATTGAAATGACCCCTTTTGGAGTTGGTGTTATTCAACAACTTGCATATTTAGTAGATGACAGCAATGTATCTTTTGAGTAGCAAACATGAATTAGTATTAGCATAAAATATACTTGACAAGGACAGTAGGGAAATGGACAATATATAAATTTATACAATGCTGCAACAATAGTAGTGCCTCTAACAAAGCCATCAGATAATCCCGGGTTCAGAATCACATTATTGCTGCTAACCTAAAATGCTCTAGCAGTGCCTAGAGATAACACTAAGCATATGGAAAATTGTTCCAATTATTCAACAATTGTAAATGTCTTGCTCAACTGCACCAAGAGACCAATATTTGAAATGCTTTTATTATTATCATTATTTATTTTTTTCTTACACCTATGGTTAATTACTACCCCTACTTAATGCTGGTGGGAAAATAACTATCAGGGCTCTGTATATAGGAACACCTTACTTACACTTTGCATTGTTTACAAATAATCTATCATTTTTTTTTTTTTTTTTTAAAGCAGGAAGGTTTTCTAAATGTTTAGAAATGATTATTACAGAAAATAATTATTCACAAGTACACAAAACTAAATTTTTTTTGTAGTCAGTAATTTTATAGACTCACTTGTTACTGTACTAATAAATTGTAATATTGTTTATATTCTTAATTCCTTCAACTATTCAAATAGTCTACTTATATACAATACTTGTACTACCATTCCAAAATCTAAAATATGTTCAAAAAATTTCAAAATTTAATTGTATTAAGATTGTCAGTTTAAAAGATTATTTCAGAACCAGGCAAATGTATACAAAATGAAGAAAGAAATTCCATATTAGTCAAAATTATAACTCCTAACATTAAAAGGGACAAACTTCATAATTGGCTGTTTGGAAAAATAATTTATTATTGTAAACACAGCATATTCCAACACAAGGCCACAACAGGGGGCCACGAGAACTGAACTCATGAGGCAAGAAAATTAGTTTGTAAAAGGGCTTGCTAACCATTGCATAATGAAAGGTGCTCAAAATATGGACCATGTTGAATCTGGTACAAAACTACAACGATCACTACCAAATTGGTCAACAAGGTGTACTCGCTCAGCATAGCACTATGGTAACTTCCCCAAGCTCTTCACAAAAATAAGAAAAAGAAGAACGCATGCCAAAATTAACATGTTTTGGAATGTGTGAATAACAACAAAAACTGATGTTTAAAGAACAAAGAAAATTAAAGCTAATTATAGCATTAAAAGGTGAGGTTTCATAGAAAAATAAAGGCAAGAAAAATTGGGACTAAAATTTAGCTTCAAAATTAGGAAAATAAAATTAAGCATGAAAAATTATTAGAAGCCACCTGTTCCAATGAATATAAAATGTGTATAGAAATTAAATATATCACAGGCATAACCAAATAGTCTAGAAGTAAATTTTAGTTTCTTGTTAAAAAGAAAACTACTAGTATATACATTAAACTATTTGTCTTAAAATGCTTTTCAAATGATTTTATAGAAATATTCAACTACCTGAAATTTACATTGAAAAACTTTCTGTAAAATCAAATTTTGTATTTCATAATTTTTCAATGATGCATTTTTAAAAATTTCACACACACACACACATATATAACATGCACAAAAAAGAAATAAGGCATGAGAGAGATCAAATTCATACAAAACTTGAAAAAATTAAGTGTGTGTGCACGCATAAGTGTGATTCATTCTAAAAGTTGTTCAAATTCTTGATTTTATTCTTTTTGTTGTTACTATGAGATTTCAACTAACCTATTCTCTGGGTCTTCTACAGGAATGCAATCTATATTACAGTATTAGTGACCACTATGGTGAAATGAAACCCCATCATTTCCACTCAACAGATTTTACACACAAAAAAGGCTGTAGAATGGATCAGGTAACAAGTAGCAGGAGATAAAAAGCAGGCAAGAAAAGGACAAAATCCTGTATTTTGTGCTGATGTTACTGAACAAAAATCTTTGCTGAAAAATTCACAAAGCCAATAAAGTAATTATTTTTTACCTTTCCTGTAAAAATGCTATGTAGCATTTTTAGCTTTTTTGAAACAGTGAAAGCAGAGTAATTGTAAATATTGCTTCTCTGCTAGGCAGTTAAATTGTATTTCCTGAATAACCAAGCAATACATAAAAATAAGTTAATGCTTATAAAGGCCTCTTCCACCTGTCCTTTGTATTAAAAATCTAAATGGTCAACTGAGTTCTCCAACCATCAATCAAGTTACATGAGCATAAACAATTGAGATGAATATTTTCTATGGTTTTAAGAGCAGAAAGCATAAATTAAAACATTTGCTAGTATTTCTTTCAAGGGTTAATTGACCAAGGAAAATGAATAGCCTAATAACAAAATTCCGTTTAAAAAGGAAAACATCAAATTACAACTTTGAAAAGGAATTCTTAATTTGAATCTCCCTCCACATTAGGTTAAAAATGTTCTTATATTTTAAAACAAAGAATTACTGAGAATGACCCCCACATCCCACAATAGCCTGAATAATAAAAAGAATTGCTACATTTGAATGGTTTTCTGAAGTAGCACAGACTGAGCAAGTTTTCATGATTATTAATAAATGTTTGTTTTGAAAACATTTCAACTGACACAGAAAAAAAAGTATAATGTTGAGAAAATTTATTTGGATGTGTAATGCCACTTGTATTAGCAAAGATGATGAAATGAATCAATAGGACAAATTTGTTCTTAGTAGTTTAGACCCCCCCCCCCAAGACTGAAGACAAAATAATTAATGTTACTCTATAGATTTTATCCATTAAAAAACAAAAAATTCACCTGAGCCTAGAAAATTGTTTATATAATTTTAATATTTAGTGTATTCCATGAAAAATGGAAGGGAGAATTTTCTCATAAAAAAGTTAGCTTCCCACAGAACTATTCAAAATTAAAGAGAAATAGATAGATGGGGGTTTCACATGAATTGGATTAGGATTCATATTACAAAATAATAAATACCATCACCAACTGCATAAAGGAAGCTTTTCACATATTTAGCTTCAATTTCTGTTCCAGCAAGTATAAAAAGGCCAAAATTCATAGTAAATCACTTCAGCTGTATGTATGTTCAAATGATTGTTTATTAGCTTTTCTATTTTGAAGAATTCATCTACATTTTGATTTTCTAACATTCTCCTGAAATGTCCAGTCACAAGCATAACATTAGGGATTTTGCTCCAGATTTTATAAAGAAAGGATTTTAAACATAAAACGTTAAAACATAAAAGATAAGAGACAAAATCGGGGAAATAAAAATTATTCAGCAAACCGTAAGGCAATAAAAATAAGAGAACAAGGCAAACATCTTTAATTGCTTAAGAATAAAACTTCCTTCCAGAACGATATTTCATATAAATCAATTGCTTCACTCTCAGCCACACACAATATCTATCTAGTCACTTCTCTATAAATGTGTTAGGTTTCATCCTTTTTATGATATATATATCCATGAATTACGTTTTACACACTAATGTATGCAGAAATGGAATAGCGATTGGGGGGGGGGGGACAAAAGTGTGAGAGTAGTTACCATTCCATTTTACAGATCAGATGACAAATATCTCGGACTAAACTGTTTGGAAAAATAGACTTTTATGATGAGTTGAATAAATTTTTTTTTTTTTTTGTATTTTTTGCCCTTTTATTTTTCTAATAAAAAAAAAAAAAAAAAAAAAAAAAAAAAGACAACATGATGGATTACCCAACATTAGGAAAAAAAAAAAAAAAAAAAAAGACGTTTTTTATGTTATTTTGTTTGAATCTAGAAATGTTAGAATATAACAGTTTAGATAAACCTCAAAATATACACAGATCAAGAAAAGCCGATTCTCTTTATTTTTTTTGTTCTTTTCATGGCAGAATTGTCCAACTACAGGAGGTTTGTGTTTCAAATTTATTCATGAATGGCAGGAAGAGATGATTAGGAAGGAGCATTTCAAACAAAACAATCATCTGGGCCTTAATACTTTTAAACATATATATGCATGCAATGTGTGATGTATTTATAGAGGTGTTTACATGCACATTTTTTAAAATTTCATTTCTTTATAATTACTGTCTGAAATAATGATAATCTGCCTCCACTTATTAAAGACTATAAAATAAATTTAGGAGGGGAAGAAAAAAAAAATGATTATGTTTTTTTAAATATTTTTTCCATTTTATTTTTATTACGTTTTACCTTCTCCCATAAATGAACCAACTGTGCACAGCAATTTGCCAGAACGACTAGTACACCCCACACTCCAACTCCCGTTTTTTTCTTTTTTTAATTTTTTTTTTTTTTTTTTTTTTTTTTAATAAAGTTTCTCTTGGTGGTGTTTGTTATGATAAAACCTTTGAAAGCAACTTCCTAACTGACCAAAGTAGTAAGGAAGATGCAGCAGATAAAAAGTGTGGGAGGATGGATGGAGGGATAAAAAAAAAAAAAAAAAAAAAAAAGGGCGATCTTCCAGATGAGAGAGAAGAATGTTGCTGCAATGAAATGCTGTATATGGTTGGTTGTCCCTAACTTCCCATTCTTTTAAATGGTCAAGTCTTTGTGATGTGCCCCTTAATAAAAAAAAAAAAAAATAAAATAAATAAAAAAAAAAAAAAAAAAATAAATAAAATAAAATAAAGATAAAAAATAAAATAAATAAAAAAAAAAATTTTTTTTATAAAAGTAAAATCTAAGAAAAAAAAAAAAAAAAAAAAAAAAAAAAAAAAAGATGAATAGGATGAGTTGGGAGGAGGAAAAAAAAAAAAAAAGAAAAGTGGGACAACAAGGAGAGAAGGGTTTGTAATTCAATAGCAACAAATCCTAAGAAAAGAATTGTCATTAAAATCTAAATTCAGGAGTTGCCATGTCAATGGCCCAGCGGAATTTCTCACGTTGGGTTTTATTGTAGATCTTTTCCAGAGGAACCTCCCATTTCTTGCACCTGAAAAAGAACAAAAATCTAGTTAAAACTGAAATTATTTGTAAAAAGTTAAAATAATCAAGATTTTTTAATATACAGTTTTTAAAATTCTAGTCTGAAATTGACTCAATAACATTGAATATTTCCTTGTTGCTAAAAGTTGTCAAAAGAAAATATCCTCTTGGCAGGATTCAAATTTCCATCTCTTTTGCCTCAAGAAGCCTATCCTACTCTAATAGTTGCCCTTATTGATTCTGAAAGGCCGACAGAAGAAACCATTTAACCATATATTTTGTTTGTATACCCCTGTAGCCTTAGTAGTAATTTGTAGTAGATGAAGCAATGTCAATCATTTTTAATTTTTGATTAATATTTACTGCATCTTAATTTTGAAATGAAAAGCAGTTGAAATTAAAAATGAAAAAAAATTCTAGTATAAAGTTAAGAAAGAGTGCTTCCTCTAATAAAAATTTAATATTAGTAAAAGGAATTATACTTGATGTGACGACTCAATAGCAATTACATTATAAAAACAGTACCTTTTGTTTGCATCTCAGAGACTTCTACATACAGTAACAGGATTAAAACTTTTTCATACAAGGACATTTTATTAATACAGTGTAACCCGGATATAAGAGAGATTTTCTCTGGTCCAGTCCTCCCCGATATAAAAGAGTTCGTTTTGAGTGACAGTGTGGTGTCGTAAATCGGTCAAACAGAGGTCAGTTAGAGAGAGAGTGAAGTTCAATGACTTAATCTTGACTAGTCTAGAGACACGGTGTGTCCAATCTGTGTCTGTAGGAGACACCCTCTACTTTATGATTTTGCTTTGTGTGTTTAAGGGTAGCGCCGCCCGCTTTTTTGCCGACTTTGCTTGTTGTTGCATTTACTGGACAGCACTTTCACTTTACCCACTGTTCTGTTGAGTCAGAAGTTTGTCTGTTTGTTAATTTTGCCACTGAAAACCGTTTGCTTGCGATCATTGTGATTAGTGATGTCGGCGTTGGCATCTCAACGAAAAAACTCTGAACATTTCTGAACAGTTGGAGCTCATCAACGATGTCAAAGTGAAGAAACTCAAACTGGCCGCTGCAGCCGAAAAGTATGGAATCGGTTATTCAACAGCAGCAAAAATTCTCAAGAAAGACGATCTCAGATCTTGCATGCAAATGAACGGAAACACTAATCGCAAACGAAAGGGCCAATCCGTGCACAAGGACGTTAACGGCGCTTACACACAATGGTTTACGCTCATGGAGCATGTGCTCATGGAGCTACCTGGCTGTAAATCTTGAAGTTGTCACCGATCACGTCATCAAAATTTCACAAAAAAAAATCAACATCAGCAAATCATGGTTCTGCCAACAAATGGGTGACAAACGTTTTGCCACAACTTTTTTGTGGATATGATCCAAAAGATGTTTGGAACTGTGATGAAACGGGAATTTTCTACAAAGCCATGCCGTCTGGACCTTTGCGATTTGCTGGCGACAAACAGTCAAATGGGACAAAAGTTCCCAAAGACAGACTCATGATGCTTCAGTTCACAAACATGGACGGCAGTGAAAAGCAAGCTGTAGTTGTTGGTAAGTCGGCAAAACCACACTGCTTTAAAAATGTCAAAACTCTGCCGTTTTCTTACTTCGCTAATCGTAAAGCCTGGATGACTAGTCAGCTGTTTACTGACATTATGAAAACGCTTGACCGAAAAATGATTGCTCAAAATCGAAAGATTATTCTGTTTTTGGACAATGCAACTTGTACCTGCTGGGTACAAATCTGTCAAACATCAAATTGTCGTTCATGCCACCAAACACCACCAGTCTCATTCAACCTTTGGATCAAGGTGGCATTTGTTCATTCAAAGTGTATTATCGTCGGGAACTTGTTCGAATGCAAATCGCAGCAATCGATGCTATACCAGTGCCACTGTCTGAGGTGGCCAAGCAGATAACTGTTTTGAAGGCCATGCACATGATGAAGCGAGCACTTTTCATGGTCAAACCGTCAACAATTCAAAATTGTTTTAAAAAGGCCAGCTTTGTCATGGAATCACAGGCTGAAGTGGAAGAAATACTCAACGAAAATGATAAAGTTTCTCCACCATCGGGCATGGAGCAAACAGATTTTGACAAATTTATCAGCTTCAACGACCGTACACAATGTTATGGAGAACTGACTGACATGGACATCACACGTGGTATAAAATCGGATGATCAAGATTTTGACGAAGATGATGATGCTGAAAGCATAAGTTCTGAAGTTTCTGAAAGTGACAAACCAGTGCCAAATTCTCTGGCTGCATTGAATGCGCTTGAAACTCTGACAGCCTACTTTGAAGCAAAAAGCAGTAATCCTGATGGCACATTGAAAATGATTTACGGACTGTATGAAAGTATTCATGATGATTTCTGCACAATCAAAAATGACTGACTTTTCTTAAGAAAAAGTAATTTTTGATTGAATTATTTTGAAAACTGATTGAAAATGTATTTTTGTCTGTGTTTTTTATGTCTATAACTGTTAAATAAACTAGTGTTCTGTACGTAAAAAGCGTTATATGAAGTGTTCCCATACTTACCTAAACAAAATAGACCAAACCCGGATATAAGAGACTTCTTCTCCGGTCACGACAACTCTTATATCCGGGTTACACTATATATATATATAACAATGATTTTAAATCAACCAAAGTAAATACAACAATTTTTTACAAATTGCCATCTTTAACATTTTTTTTTTTTTTTTTTTACTGTCATTCTCCATTTTATTATCTAATCTGTCACTTCACCTTGTCAGTAAATTATTTAAATTCACTTATATCTATTTATGAAAACAGACTAACTATAGACTATCTTTACAAAAAGAAAAAAAATTACATATGAGGAAATGAGATGTTCTCAGTCCAATTCCCTTCTGAAAATCCAACTAAAAATATTTGCCAGTGGTAGGTGAAGATTGCAAATCAGGTATTTGTTTTTCCCCACTCACCATTTAGTTTTCAACCAAACAAAGCTAAACAATATTTTTCAGTTCACAAAATAGATTAACTGCAATATGATGATTATTTAATTTGTAGTCAACATCAAGTTTTTTTGGGGTTTTTTTTTGTCTTATGGTGAGGAGTAATAATGAGCGGCAGAGAAGCAAGAACTGCTCAAAAGCGAAATAGAATCAGATGTTATTTCAATGATAAATTAGTTCTTCAAAACACAGAATACAATTTATGGGGCAATGATAATTTTTTTTTAACACATCTTTTGTCTCTTTCCTTTCATTAGTCAAGCTTTTTAAAAAGTAGAGGTTAGCACTAGATAATATTTGATCTAAAACAAACTATGATACTATGTAGAGTATATATCTTTAATGTAGACTTATAGTATATCATATTGCCCAACTGCTTTGATCAATATTAAAAATGTCACTATATTGAAAAAACAAATCTATCTCATCATTTCTAACATGAATATTTTGAGAACTTTTTTTTTTTTTTAAAATATATTTAAAACAAATTGCCAATGCTGAATGAGAAAAATAATGTTTCAAGTGCATAAAACAAAAGATAAAGTTAATTGCATTTTGTTTTAGAAACAACCACGACAAATTCTTTTCAACCAGTTGAATTTAGTTTGGAAAAATTTAATACAACATTCTAACAAATTTAAATTTATAATTCTCAACAAAATAATTCAAGAGATCATAAAATATAAAATAAACTATACCAGGCAACAGAAATTCTTGGGTCAAGGTAGTTCAATTTGGAAGTGCCTAAAGCAATTTCTTTGTTTTCATCCTGAAATATACAAAAGAATTAATAAATAAGCAATGTAAAATTCAAGGATAATCATCTACATAAAATTTGAGGTTATTTACACAATACCCAAGTTGATATTAAGTGACCACACATAGAACTTCAGAAATTCTTGTTTTTTTTTTTGTTTTTTTTTGTGTACAAAGCAGAAATTTTGTTGTCATTCAGTTTAAACTAATCCAATAAGTTATCCAGTCTCTTTTGTCTGAAGACAACAAAATGATAATTTGGGCCTATCTGGTTATTCCATAGTTGTGCACAATTGCAGACAAACATTTTATGTATACTATTCTTCACCGAATACAAAGTATATATTATGAGGATATAAAGAACATAATGGTTGACCCTAGACTTGAAGATTATGTGATCAAGGAAACATCCTTTCAGTTGTCAGTTCCACAAAGTAACAGTTATAGGGAAGAAGCTACCGAAATGGAATTTTCTTACAAATGTAGGGGGTATGAATTGACCCTGTGTATGTGACATGGCAGGACCTAGCTGTGAAGATTGGAACTAAGGAATGTAGCTCATCTGAACATCTACTATAATAGAGAGATTAGCAATATCTTGACTGTGAGGAAAAGAGGATTGTAGAGTGGGGAAATAAGTCATGTAAACAATTTTGGACTGTCATGGTTTAAAAGTGAGGATTGAACATTTACAGTCCAGATATGGCAGTAATAATCCATTTTTGGCCTGATCTGACTCTTATAAAAACAGCAGAAGTCTGGTATTTTCTAGAGCTGTACAAGGAACCAATCATTTTTACAGTATCTTTAGTGATGGATTATCCATATTGATGATCAAGTCACAACAGATGTTCAAGGCAAAGATCCTCATTGAAATTACAAATATTCATCATAACAGGAGAAAACTTGGTGATGATGAAACATTAATAACTTGGTTTTGGATCTATTAATTATGAATATTAATATTCAACATGTAACCAGGTTAGAAAGCATATCAGCAGCCCCAAACTAGATGGATGGATGTTGGATTTAATGGCATGTCAACTCCTATTTCCCAAACTGGTATGACGAGCAAACAGCCTTGTACTGAGATGCAATATATGAACAAAGGATTCCCATTTAAGTCTCTTAAAATCAATACATAACAGTCATACAATAAATAACTAAAATGAAAACTCACTTGATATTATGTTTATAGTAATTGTTCCTATCCAGAAAGACCATATAATGAGATTAAATCAATTAAAAAAAAAAAAAAAAAAAAAAAAAGAAGATGCTATCTTTGTAATGGGGATCCCATTGTTTCGCCAGAAGTATCTAGAAAAATCAAAATGTGTTAATGAGTATTTTCATAGTGTGTCATTACTACAATGCACAATCATCCCAAACTTGAAGCAGGGTGGCTTAGCTATTCATATAGAACACTATATACACAGATGTTCTAAATGTGCAGGAACAAAATTTTCTGCAATTAGGTTAGAAATTTGGACATGTGTATGTATGGATTACACACATAGTGATGGGATTAAACTGATGTTCATTTTTGTAGATTCCTTTTCTGGGTGACCAGAAATTATTTGTGTTCTTCATGGGGAAAAACTATTATAAAGACAAGTTTCAATTGTATAAATGCTATGCCTATTTAAATATATTTAATAATGTTATAATGTATTATGATTGTTTATCATTTTTCACATGCATAATAGTTGGAATACGATATGCAATGTTTGTTTATAGACGCGTCGACTGATATATGAATATGTATTGAAAATATACGGAATTTCCCATTCAAAAAAATATACTGAATTTCCCATTCAAAAAAAATATACTGAATTTCCCATTCAAAAAAAAATATACTGAATTTCCCATTCAAAAAAAAATATACTGAATTTCCCATTCAAAAAAAAAAATATACTGAATTTCCCATTCAAAAAAAAAAATATACTGAATTTCCCATTCAAAAAAAAAAATATACTGAATTTCCCATTCAAAAAAAAAAAATATACTGAATTTCCCATTCAAAAAAAAAAATACTGAATTTCCCATCAAAAAAAAAAAAAATATACTGAATTTCCCATTCAAAAAAAAATAAAATTTCCCATTCAAAAAAAAAAATATACTGAATTTCCCATTAAAAAAAAAAAAATATACTGAATTTCCCATTCAAAAAAAAAAATATACTGAATTTCCCATTCAAAAAAAATATACTGAATTTCCCATTCAAAAAAAATATACTGAATTTCCCATTAAAAAAAAAAAAAAACAAACTGCATTTCCCATTAAAAATACCATAAAAACTGCACGAGCTCAAGATCCATTTGTATAATTTTAATAAAATTAGGCACTAAACTAAGGAGTTCAAGGTACAATTTACTCCTACATTGGTTGGGATATTGTATATCATTTAAGCTGTATCTCATGAACACACATACAAGTAGATATGTTATTAACATTTAATCCTTAGAAGCAACACTCAATATATTTGATGGATTTCTGAGAAATGAAGATATCTGAATATGATAAGGGATAGTTATCTCGTCTTGGTGAGTGTAGAGGATACAACATAATCTTTGGCTACCTTTGTCCATAATGATGGTGAGGAACAAACATCAATTCTTTTTCAAGGAAAAGAAAAAGAAAAAACAAGCATGTTAAAACATTTAATCACAAACAAAAATCATACCTTGTCTGTGGCTTGCACCTCCAGTTTACACAACTGTTCTTGGAGACGTTCCAATTGTTTCTTCTTCTTTTCATATATACTGAAAAAGAAATCAGATTCATTTCAACAACAAGTAAAAGTGCCATTCGACAAGCATAACTTTCTGGAACCTAACCAGTCAGTAACAATAGATTAGAAATGTAAATGAAAAGCACCAAAACCTATAGAATATTGCCCAAACATTAAACCTAGAGGACTGAATGAATTGCATAGTGAAATCACAAGACATACATTACACTAAAAGACCACAAAGAAAACTTCAAAACAAACCCAACATGCAGACTCATAACTAACTAAAAGCAAGCATAATTGCAAAAATTTATACTAGATATAAAAGATTATCTATACTAGATAAGGCCATCATCAAAGTAAAAATCATTAAGCATGGCCAAAAGCCATTATTCGGCAATGAAGATACATGGCTAAAGAAAGAAGGAACATTTGATGTTACAGAAACCTGCAAGCTTATAGATATACATTTACTAAGTAAAATAATCAAAATGATATTGGCCCCTACAGAGACAATGGTCTCATAATCCTAAGAAAACTGTAACAGATAAAACTAGAAAGATAATCATTCAAGTTTTCGAAAATAGGGGATTTGACAAACATAAAAACAAAGCTAAAAGAAAGTGCCAACAAAAAAAAAAAAAAAAAAAAAAAAAAAAAAAAAAAAGAAATAAACCATGGTTCAGCCCCCTGGACGACAAAAAAATGTAAAAACAAATATAGGAAAAATATTCATTAAACACATACACTTCCCTACATCAAGCATTCTCGACAAGATTTTCAAAGCCACTGGAAAATCAGCAGATAAGAAAAATATACACAAGTGTAAATAAAGGACAGTTTAAAATTATGCACACAAAACATCCTTTACTAATAGTAAATACACAAACAGCACAATGCTTTCTAAACATATATAGGAGACTAAAAACAAATTACAGAAAGAGAAAAAAGCATCAGCCTATAACAATAAATCCAAACTGCCTGGAGGAGAAAATAGCTATAATTACTATGCCAGGCAAACACAAATTACTAAATAGACAATCAGGACTTGTAAAAATGCAAACACAAAAGTCAAAAACTATTTCCACATTACTTAAAAATCTAAAACTAAAAATGAATAACTTCTAAAATACTTCCATGAAAAATGCAAATATATGCACTACTAGCTTAAGTGCTGTTCTACTGGGCAGAATTTAAACTAGCTCCTGCAGAGGACTCTTGATTGGGCCTTTGAACCAAGAATAACACTTCATGCATTCAATACATAATTTTATTAAACTTGAACAATATTTTTCAAACAATAGTTTTTATCAAAATAATGATATAATTTGTCTATTTGGAACATGCAAAGCTGCATGATAAACATTATTCTGATTTTCCCCATTTGGGGTCAGTACAAATAGCTTGTTTCCATTCCCAAACTTTGAACAACCAACATAGAGCTGGCCATGAGAAAAGCAGGGTTCCAGTGTCAATGGAAAAGTATTTCATGCTTTCTTTTGGAATTTCTTAAGTTTCCAGTTGATGCTATTCATAGTTTGATTTTTGGGAGCTAATATGGCTCTCTCACAAAGCTAGTTTGAATCCATGAATTTGTGTTTTTTGTTTGGATGAACATGGTTATTCAAATCTTGGATACTTGAGACTAAAACTCCACAACCATTTGGGAGTGAATATCTCCATTTTGTGAGTCATATTTGTTTTCAGGCTGAGTCTTTGAACATAGCTCCAGATGTAAGAATTTTTAACAGAGTTGTGTCCCTTTAACTGAAAAAAAGTGTGACACACTCGGACATTTTTGCTTTTAATAAATATAATGTAACATACTTTACACTAAACAAGTAAGATAACCAAAACCCAGGAGAAAAAAAAAAAAAAAAAAAAAAAAAAATTGTGGTTAAGAAGGTCAGGTATTTCCAGGTAAGGACAGTTATAGTCGAGGTACCCTATATTTGTGAAATATTGTGATTATTTTTCTGGTTTTGTCTGTTACAATTTCTAAGAAATCTGAAACCGTTGTCCCTATAGAAGCATGCAGCATTTTTGTTATTTTGCTTACTTCATATAGTATCTGTTTGCCTATCTGCCAAAACTGCCCAGTCCAACATTGAAGGTTCCTTCTTACTTTAGCCAAGCAATTTTGTTGTGGAATAATAGTAATTTTTGGCAGTGTTTGATTAATTTACTTCGTTTGTACTTATTTTTATGTGTTCCGGAGTTAAGGAGATGACTTTGTCTAGCAAGTGTTCGGTTATTGAAGGGTAAATTTTTTTTTTTTTTTTATATCTAGTTGTATAAATTTGCAATTGTTTGTTTTCCTAAAAGAACCAGTCTGTTTTTGTGTTTTTCCACTGGTTTACTCCTAATTTTGTCCTTAGTTGTAAGTTAATTCATTTTGCTATAAATTTTACCTAGTTCACTTTTAGTTGGATTTATGAGTCTGCATGATGTGTTTGCTTTGAAGTTTTCATAGTGCTCTTTTAGCGTAATGAATGTGATATAATGACAGTTTGGCTGTTGAAGTTAAGTGTTCGAGCAATGTTCCTAGATTAATATATTCTGTAGTTTAAGTGTATCTCTTTTTCTTTGACTGTGTCATCTGTATTAAATTATTTGTTTAAAACATGCTTCTCATCTTTTTTTTTTTTTAAATTTTTTATTTTATTTTATAAGGCTATATATGACAGAGATGACTGACCTATCTGGCATGTCCCAGAAATTTTTTGAAGCAAATATCTTAATTAGGGTCATCTTGATTAATTTTTATTTGATCCAGTGTTAACCTTTTGAGTTGAGTTTAGAAAAATAAAACAAAATCTGACATTCCCCTGAGAGTAAATACAAAATAGAACTACTATTACCTTCTGGCTTTCTCAGTTTTTTGATTCTTGTAATCACTTTTTGCATCCTTTACTTGTTTCTTTCCATCCTTAACCATATCCATTTTGGCTTTGATCTAAATAGGGGGGGAAAAATGTATAAGTCAATTTGTAATTTCGTTAGGAATTTCTCAATCTATAAAAATAGTTACAATCATGATTAGAGGGAGAGAGACAGAAGATTTACCTTATTCTGCAAATTCTCCATCTGTTTACTAAAGTTTTTAGGTACTGCCCGCTGATGGTTACACAAAACAGCCACAGCACGATTTGCACGATTATAAGACAGGAGCTTGGCAGGAACAGCATCTTCAGCTGAAATATAATACAAATGGTTTCATTAGAGAAAACAAAACAAAGGCATTTAAACTGAATCTGCAAAATAGTTTCATAAGTATGTAGCACTTTTGATTTATGTTAAATGGTCAAAAAAGAGAGAGAGAACAATCATAAGCAACATCCAAGCTGATACTAACATTTATGAGAATTAAAAAACTAGGGAGCAAATTATTTGATAGCCATAAAAGCCTTGTCAAAAAATTACTAATTTTTTTTTTTTTTTACTTATTAGGAGGTACATCTTTTCTTTATAAAATATTATAGTATTGTAGTATTTTATTGTACTATTACAATTTTTATTAATTTGCTATTTGTTTTTTTATTTTAAATTTTTATGTTATTCCAGTTATGAAATTAAATTATCGTTTATAAAATCTACATTTTTATATTTTAAATGGAAAAAGAAAAAATGCATTGTAAGGGGGTTTTGCCATAAGAACAATCCCTTAAAACAAATTTTTCTGATGATGATGTATATAGATGATCATTAAAAACAACAAATTGACACATTTATGAACAAACAAACTCAAAATTCTTCTTAAAATATTGTGTGTATTTGAACTGCAGTGAGCTTTTCCATCAAATAGCTTTAATTTAATATTACTTAGCTGCTACAAATTAATACATAATTCAAGATTTAAAGTTTATAAATTATTCTAATCAAAATTAAAAAAATCGATAATTTAAAATTTTAATATTTTGTAAAAATCATTTAAAAAATAATTTCATTAGTTTCTGAATAAGCCCTGTAAGTTTCATAGAAATCTGAAAATTATCTAACTAAAAAACCCAAAAAACTTTTTAGCCAAATTTTCAAAGTTTTATAGAAGGATAGAAAAATTACACACACACAAGTCTTTCCTTTTAATAGTAACAAAGGTTTTGACAAGAGTTTTTTGTCATCTTTTTGCAATTTTTCATCAGGTATTGTTTTAGGTGGACTTTGGGAAATGCCTTCTCTTGAGGAATACCCTAAAACTGTAATACATTGAGACATTTTAAAATCTGAATTGACTGATCACATGGGGAGGGGAGAGAGAGGAAAAAAAAGAGACACCCCACAAACATTATAAGACTAAGTGAAAATGATACACAAGGAAAAGCATTGGAGAATAAGAGGTTTGAAAGAATTCATGTGTACATTGTACAATCAATAGATCAAACTGAGACAAGGAAATTAGAGAAAAAGATGAAATTGAGGTTTCAGAAACATAGCCACAAAATTGGGATCTTTGTCAAGTTCATTAAATGGATTCACTGCAAAAATGAAAAGACAATCACAAGGACCTATAGGCAGGAACTGAATGTGAAGGAAAGTGAACTCTGAAGAACAAGATTCAACATTCCAAAATGTAATAGATACCATGGAAAGTTAAAGATATAAAGCCAGGAGATTGTTATGAAACAAAGATTATGAAAATAGTTTGAATCTATATACAAAGTTTAAAAGAGACCAAAATTATTTACCTAACAGATTATATGGAAATAAACTAGTAAGGACAAACAAAGTTGACTTGCATGACAGGTCATTAAGAATACGCTCATTTTTTTAATGGATCTGCACATCAACCTCCCCATAATTTAATTGGGAGAAGAAAATTGCATTTATACACCAAATCTAATGAAACAACAATTGGACAAAATTAAATATGGTTAATTATAAAAATGGCAACACTTACGATTAGTAAGTAGATCCAGTTGTTCTTGTAGGGTCTTGGATGCATTAAAGGTCCTAAAAACCTTTGCAGTTAACCCTTCCATTAAGTCATGCAAATGCTTATTCAATGTTGCTGTCTGTAGGGATAAAAAAAAAAAAAAAAAAAATAAATTGTCATATTTAACTTGTTAGAGAGTTTCAAAGATTTTTTTAAAAACAAAACTTTACGATTGTGATACATATCCAAGTATCAAAAGGGATTACCATGAAAGATTTTTTCTTAGATAAAAGGCAAAAGGATAAAACAACTACTTCTTTCCACAACTCTTAATCCTTTTCTGGTTATTTTATTCTAAGATGCCAACTAGTGAAGATTTTTTTAGAAAAAGATGATTTGAAAAGTTTAAAAGGTCTAAATTAGACAAAAAGGTAAATTTACATACATAATTGCACATCATACTAAAAAGAAAATTTTGGAGACAGGTAAAATTAATGGCTGTGTGACAAACAAGATAGCACTTTTGTTGTATTTAAAAAAAAAAAAAAAAAAAAAAAAAAAAACACACACTTCCCCCGCTTTTTTTTTCTTAAAATGCTTCCTTATGTTAGCTCTGAAAGAGGAAAAATGATAAAAACTGTGCCCGAAGTTGGGACAATCAAAGAGATAAACTCATTAATAAACTTGATTCAGCCAAAATTCTTGTTTAATGTAAAAGGAATAAAAGAAAGGCTTACATTTAATCTGTCAAACAAGTCATCACCAGGTTGTTTATTTTCAATAAACAACTGCAGATTCTTGAAAACACGTTTTTCTACAGGCACTTTGTTTTGGTAACGGATTGAATCTTTACCAAGGAAGTCAAATTCAACCACAAATTCTTTATCATCTATTTCAGGGTGCAGCTTAATGTGCTCAACACGAAGAGAACAGCAACCTACTGTATCTGCAGTCTCACCTTCCTCTTTCTCATTACCTGCTCTCAAAGCAAGCTAAAAAAAAAAAAAAAAAAAAATTACTTAATGAAATGGATAAAAAAGATTTTAATATACACAAGATTATATTAATTTAAATATTTTACATACTATATTCACTGACATTTAGATTAAAAATATGAAATTAAAATTAACTTCAATGTAAATACAAGAAAAAAAAAAAAAAAAAAAAAAAAAAAATGGTACCTTATCAATGAAATACAAGGCAACAGCCCTTTGCCGTATTCTCATTTCTTTTGACTTCCAATCTTCTCGATATGTGGCTCGAATCTTGTCAACATGCTTGTAGAGGCGCCGTGCCACTTCATACTTCTGCCAATCCTTTTCCCCCTTCAGGCGAGATGCTGCATTCAGCATGACATATTTGGTTTGTCCCTGAATGTTTTCTGACCAACATGCCAGCCAACTCACCTGAATAACAAAAGGTTTTTTTTTTTTTTTTAAAATATTTACAATTATCAACTGCACAATGTAATTTTTGATAACAATTTTCCATTACTTACAAAAACAATTTTAACAACCATACTAAATATGCTGTCATTTAATAACAAGTATCTTTAAATTAAAATAAATCAAGTTAACATTCTTTTAGCACATTCCTTTGACCTTGTTTTATGAATAGCAATAAATAAAATGAGAATCCTATTTATGAGGGTTTGCTATGGTGGTTTAAGATTATATGTAACAGCAATGAAAAGTCCTTGGACCAACCAAAAAATATTTCTCCCAAAAGTTACTTGGTCATTTCAGATGTAGGTTTTATTAAGAAATTTTCAACACCTTCCTCATACATGTTGAATTAAAAAAAAAAAAAAAAAAAAAAAAATTACCTGTTATCTTAAAGCTAGTTTCCCCGCACCAGGTAGTTGTTAACTTCACTAGTCATATTATATGAGGATATATACTAAATTGTAAGGCAACAGATACTATAAAATTGATGTAAAAAAAAAAAAAAAAAAAAAGAAAAAGGAAAAAAAAGAAAAAAGTAATCCATCTTACTTTATTGTCACATTGGACTTTTTTCCATTTGCGCCCAGCTGGGGGTTCTGGAATTTTGGAATTTCTACAAAAGATAAAAGTTAAGACATTGAGGAAAAAAAAGAAAAAAAAAAAGAAAGACACTAATCACCCAGTAAAAAACAAAATTAACAGCCCTGGACCCCATCCCATGAAGAATTCTTAAAAACAAAAACCATCCTGTTTTAATAATGTTGTGTGAAAGGACTTGACATACAGAAGTTCTAACTCTTTCCATTTATTTTGTGCTAGATTAAGCTAAGCATAGTAAATATATTTTTCATGAAATATGCTGTTGAGTAGAAAAAATCTGAAGAAAGTGCTAGTAAATCTTCCTATTTTCCACTGAAGAGAATAGATATCTTTAAAACATTTTCTTAATATGTAGCCCATTATAACCAATGTCTTTGGATACAGTATGATCTACTGGAGTCAATTGAACAAAATTATGTACAAGAGCCAATGTGAGTTCATAATGGAAACTTATTCTTCCTTAAGTAGCATACTTAATATTTATATACCGTTTGCTGAAAGTTTACACAGACCAAACAGTTTGAAAGTGTTTAATGTTTCAGCAGTGTTGACAAGCTACATCCAAACAGACTTGCAAAGCTGGCTACTCACAAAAATAAAAAAACACTTTAATGAACTCAACCATTCAAGTGGTGAATTACCACCGGAGAACTGTTTTATGGAGCTATAAATGTTGACTTCAATGCTTTAAAAATTATTTTGCCAATGTTTGAATATTTCAAAATTAGTGCCAGGTAGGTCCCATGGATACTCACAAAAGACCAGAAAGACCAGTGAATCCAAGTCTATCAAGACATACTGAACCACCATAAGGCTGAAGGTATCAGTGTTCTGGACAGTGATGAAACATGGTGACACCACCATAAGCTAAATTCAAAACAAGATTACATGGAAGTTATGACATGTAAATTCCTTATCAAAGAAATTGTTCAAAACAACTATCAGCAAGGAAAGCAATGTGCACTGTCTTTTGAGATAAGAAAACAATATACTCAATTATGATTATTACATTGGGATGCTGGTTAATATGAAAGCCTAAATTTCCAGATTCAGGCCAAAAAAGAAAACCTTTTGCTTGCAACACTATAGAGTCCATATAAACTTAAAAACCATTTTGACAAAACTATCCTCCCAAAAGCATAGTACAGATTTGGTGCCTTTCGACTTGCATCTGTTCAGGTGAATGAAAGATGAACGACAGAACAATATTTTTCTGACAATGTTTTCATCACCACTGTTGTGAAAAATGGGTTGCCTTTGTTGATGCAAATCTTTAAGGTTATGTCAAGCAGGCTAATGTTTATCAGTTGCAAAGATAGTATTTTGCAGGGTTATTGTTCATTTTGTATGTGTTGTTTCCCTGATGCCCATTTGTTCTCCAGTCTGTTTCAAATGCTCTAGCTCACTACAAGCCAAAAATGCTGCCTCTGTAATTTTCAGTCTACTTGACCTGCAACTGAGCAAGCTTGTCTATTTAAAAAAAAAAACACCCCCCCAAAACTTGTAATTTGTAAAGAAATAGGTGGATTTTTTATTTATTAATTTGACAGATTTTTATTACTTAAATGTTTAGTGGATACTCACATTTGAGTAGATGCTCCATTTATTTATTAAACAATATATTTATTTACATCTACTGGTCTGAATATCTGAAAAAAAAAACGTGATCTCTGGCTTAATAAATAACTGGAGCATCTACTCAAATACAAGTATTGACTAAAAATAATGTTTAATAAAAATAAAAGCATGTGCATTAACCCCTATAGACCAGTGCAGAAAGTTTAGTACACACTATCTCCTAAATTTCATTACTATTGTATTTTTTAGTCACATAGCTACATCTTTCATCACTAAATGGCTTTATCATCATCATCTCACTAGTAATTCCCAGTTCTACCATGCTATAGCAATTATATACTGAAATAACTTGTTAAATAGGAAAAGAAAAAACTTAGCTATATTCAGATTCTTCTGGTAAGTGCATGCAAAGAATAAACAAAAGAAATTTTTAAAATCTAGATTTTGATAACAAATATGTCACTCAGTCCTAGTGGTGAAAATAAAGAAACAATTTTGAGTCACTGAAGATTTTGAGGGGTGGGTGTTTGCCCAACACCCCATTTGCAAACCAATTCACGTTTATTTATGGCATTGTTCCCACTGACTCTTCCCTGTTCTTGCATCAATCATTTCACATATTTCCTATAAATGGTTTTATTAATGACTGTCACTTTACACATCATTAGAATGAATAAAAAGTTTTGATGTAAGTGTTTAATAAATCCTATCCCTAATATCATTAATGGGTGACAAAAAGGTAGTTGATAAATAAAAACAAAAAAATGTGTGTAAATATTAAAAGGAACTTATGAAAAGTGAATTTAGGGTTCTAATATTTGGGATTTAAAAAAAAAAAAAAAAAAAAAAAAAAAACTCACTCCAAAAAGGTGATGGCATTCAGCTGTGAACCAAACAATGGCACTACATTATATCAGATTTTATTATGCAAGTCAATGTTTTCACAATAAAATTGATATTAAGAACTAACACTGATTAATTTTTCAAGATATATTTATTTATATTATAAATATATCCTGTGAATTTCAGCTTATAATACCTATTTTTATTAGAAATATGCATTTTAACTTTTTATGCAACTTGAGGATTATTCATCAAATTATAATCTATAATAATATAGATATTAATTTTTTAATTTCAGAAATATAAAGACTGCCATGGGTTATAAGATATAGCAAAAGGGAAAAGTTATTGAGTAATGAGAATACAATGTTGGAAATTTCATAAACATTTTATGGAACAATCAAAAATGAAATTGCAAACCCAGAAAAGATAAAAGATTTAAGAATATCACAAGAAAAGAATTGTGAAATATGAAATGATAAAAAAAAAAAGTGGATATACTAGCAAGAAAACATTGGAAGACACTGATATTGCAAATATAATCAGAAAGATGAAGAATAAGAACATTAGCTACAGATATTAAAGCAACTAAACGACCAATTTCTCAAAGAGAAATGTGAGTTTAGTGAAAAGTACATGAAAACTGATTTCTCAACAGTAATTTTAGTGATAAATGTAGAACTACATTGGATGGAAGGTTGGGTTTTTCATAGAAAAAAAAAATAAAATCAACCAATGTCTTAGAAAATATGGTGGTTGAGTAGTAGAGCAATTTTGGGGCTAGTAAGTAAGTAACATTATGGTCTCTTCCATGTTGATGCCAAGAAAAATGCAGAGAATTATTGTCAATTCATGAACCTGTTTTTTTTTTTTTTTTTTAGTAGTACAGGTCACAACCAAGAAGTGATAGAATATACTGATGCAAGACAGTGTGTTTTCATATCCTGAAAAGCTGATTATTGCCCACCCTGCCAAAAAGGGTTTCAAAGACACTAAATTAATGGAATGACCACACCAACCTCTTCAAATATTTATTCAATGGCAAACTTCTAGTTCATCAGTAAAAAGAGATGTATTCAAAGCAAATAAGGTGTCTAGAAAGCAATAAAAACTATTGCAATTAATGTTAACATTATATATATATATATATATATATATATATATATATATGTGGAATACTGATGAATTTTAAAAACTATTCAAGTACAGGATAGTGTTGCTGAAATATGCGTTTCTATGGCCCAGGTCTTTTGTATTTATTTATAAATAAAATGTTGCACATTACATTTTTGCAAAATAAAACCTGAAATCTCAAAAGAAGATATTAATTTTTTTTTTTTTTGTTTAATAAGGATAGATATAAACTGAAATGTAAAACAGTTATTGCTCAGATAAGTAAACACTGAAAATTTTGCCAATATTTACTGTGAAAACATTGACTTACATAAAATTTGACAGTATATGAGAGGGTGCTGAAAAATTCTCAGCTGGTTAAATCCTTAAAGGAAAAAAAAAAAAGTTTCTTCATTTGGCCAAATTTTGTTTGCATTACATCATATAATTAGTATCAAACCAAAACTTCAAGTTTACTTACTTGCTGCAGTTAATGATAACATCTTCTGGCATGGTTCTACGTTTCAGCATTCCCTGCTTAGGGTGGTCTCCACGACCACGAAACAGACCTGGAGGTTCAATCCTAAAATTACCAATTTTCTCCTTATGTCCATCCATAATACAGTAGCCATATTCCAACTGAATCTCTTCATTTTTCTTCTTTAGTGCCTAGAGATTTTAATTAGCAAAAATAAATACAAACACTGAATGTATTCTCACGTCAGAGCAAAAGTCCATTTGCAAAATAAATTATGCAAGCAAATCCACATAAAAAAAAATACAATGTGTCACCATTTTTATGGTGGTGGTGGGTATATGTGTAACACATCCACATCATCAAAAGTGTCAACAACATAGATATTGACAAAGTACCTATTGCAATACAGTGGACTTTTCTGGTACAATGTAGAAACCAGAATTATAGACGTGAATAGTGAAGTGAATAGAATGTTGTTTGAAGTTGAGGAAAACATTGATATGCAATTGAGGGGAAAAAATATTGCTGTCATTTTTTATTTTTTTTAAAGTACAACCAAACTAGTACAAAATAATTCATAATGAATAGTCTACCCCCACCATTTTAGAAAGAAATATTTTTCATAATTTATATGTATAGGAGTATCTTTTTGAGAATATAGAGATTAATGAATTGTATAACATTATGGATGTAACAATTTACTGCTTTCTTTATTTTCCTATTACCATCACAAAGGACATTAAATTACTTCACCAATATGATAATGAATAGAGGTAAGGCAAAATAAGTGGCAGTAACCCACCAATTTTTCTTCTTTGGATCTATTTTTCCTGTCTTCTGACTGCTGCATAAAGAATGCATGCATGTCTCTGAAATCACATTTTTTGAGATCTACAATCAATTCTCTTTCTCCTTGAGTCATCACCTAGATGTAATAAAAATAAAAACAAAGAAAAATGGAGACATGTAAATAACAATTCATCTATAATACTTTTAGATTTAACAAAAACATCCTGAGCTACAAAAGAAAATTGAATAAAACTTTTTTTTTTTTAGAAAACAGTTAAAGACTTATCTTCAAAGTCAAATTTCTTACCTTCCTCCAATCTTTGAAAAAGTTCTTGTTAAATATCTCACTGGATGTGTAGTCATGTTCCAACATTTTAGCATAAAAACCTGCCACTTCTTCAGCATCCTGACTTAATTTTAAAACTTTCCCTTAAAAAAAGAAGAAAAGGAAACTAATTTACAAGAAAAGAAAGAATCATATAACAACATTTTGCTCACAAATTTATATTTCTTATGTTGGATGATTGATTCTAAAACTTCAACTTATTCTGTAATTATTTGACTCATTAAACCCTTAATACATAAGTCTTTCCAAAGGATTGTTTATGTCACTAATAATCCAGAGGGATTACCTGAAATAGATTTTAATTTTGTAATCTGCCTGTCATATGATGCAAATTTTAGTTTTATAAATCCAATGCAATGTTAAAATGAAACGATATTCAAGTATTATACAGATATGCATGCATGTATGAGCTGCTGCTCCAACCCACTTCTTAAAATCTAGCCAAATGATCAATTTATTTTGTAAGGAATGCCTCATCTTGCCTGACAGCAAACTCACCTGAAAGTCCTATATTTTTGAGAATTCTTTAATAAGTCATAGTATATTAGGCTTTCTTTGATTCCAAATAAGTAACAGAGACTTTGATAATTTTGAAATTGGAAAAAAAAAAAAAAAAAAAAAAAAAAAAAAAAAAAAAAAAGGGGCACTCAACACAATATTTCTTTACCAGTTACATAAAACATTCTGATGAAAATTTAATCAACACCTATATATTTGATTCCAGATTTTATTGAGCCACTCATATACAGTATTTACTGACAACAGAGCTGCCTGTCATAGCAGAGAGGTAAGCTTTTGAAATCTGAACATTCCTTTAAAAATAATGAGAAATAAATGTCAGAAAAATAAACAAAAATAATCACAATTACCATCATATTTAAAGATAACATTGTCAGGTAAGGGCTCATAATCTGGTGCGAACAGAGGCCCTTTGTGTTCTAAGAACATCCATTTGACGCCATCCTCTCTTCTTTCTTCTTCCCACCTGACAAAAATAAATTTAAGTTTATACTTAACATCATTAATATACAACAGTTGTAGGCAATTAACTACCACAGAAAACCTTTTACAAATTGTTATTCTACAAGAATGCTATATTTATACTGCATATCTTAAATGTAATTTTCTTTGTATATATTTATATATGTTGTCACAAGCTTCACTAAGAGAAATTGATATTTAAAACAAAACAAAATGACCAATCCAACATACTCACAGTACAAATAAGAATGTAGTAGTCTAGCAGTTTATACGTTGTTACAAGGCTAATTTACAACAGGGTTTAACGTGATCAAATAAATTTTTTTTCTTTAAGTGGTTACATAATTGCATCAGTTTAACCTGTTGCCCTCAAATCTTATTTGATCTAAAATATTGGTTAATGTTTGCTCCCAGTTGCGAAGGATTCTGATAGAATCAAATAGGAAGTAACTCTTTGCTCCCTTAAAATCTTACCATTTCCAAACAATCTGTTCCTCATCCCCTTTTTTCTTTCTTTCTTTTTTAGTTGGAGTTTCTGGTTCCGTTTTGATTTCCTTCTTGATTTTTTTCTTCTACAAAAAAGGATGAAGTTCTAAAATGGTGACTTTTTTTCCACAAACAGCAAATCAAATCAACATAACATCTCCAGTCTTTGTTTTAAAAGTACACACACACACAGCGCTTCCTCACCGTAACTTTTTACATTTTGCATATATGAAAGCCTGTGAGGGCATTTATTAAGTGTTAAAAAAAAAAAAAACAAAACAAAAAAAAAACAAAAAAAAAAAAAAAAAAAAAAAAAAAATAAACAGAACTAATGAATGACTAGAGGAGTTTGATAACCAATAAGGAAATTATATCACGCCAACCCAGCCTGCTCACAACCTCATATTCCTCACTGAACAATCAAACAATGAGATTAAAAATTAAGATCATGAATGGTAGCTAAGTATAGAATTAAAAAAAAAAAAAAATCTTTTGCACCATCATTTAAAGTGACAAATCAAATACTAATAGATGAATCTATTGATAACTTTCAAAGGAAAAGTTGTTCAATTGTGCTTTTGGGAAGAAAAATAAAGCCACTTAGCATGATAGAGTCTCAAAACATTTCCTTATTCAGATGTGGAGTCTGAATATCACATTAATCAAAGTATCTATTTTTATCATCATTATATATAATCAAATGTGTATGTAACTGTATGCATGTAGCATAGAGATTGACATTTTATCAGTGGAGAGATAAGAATTGTAAGGGTGGTCAAACACAAGTTGAAGCAAATTATTACAGCATTCAAATTTATGAATAGTTAGCCAGTTTTACAACTTTGTACTGACATTTAAGTATACAGTACAAAAAAAATATTACAACTTATTACAATTAGAAATTTCCAGTTGCTGAAATGGACAGATCAGTTGTCATTTGCCTTTTCCTATTTTCTGATGAAAAAAAGGTGTTTTATTTCCCACCTTTACAGATTATAAACCTGATGAAAACTGAATTGGCCAAAATACTGTTGTTACAACAGTAAAAACACAAAGGAGCTATCATTTTCATGAATTTAGAGAGAAAAGATAAAGTTATGTAAACGCCTAAATAGGCTTGTCTAAAAGTATTTTCCCTTTAAGAACAAAAGGTAGTTGTCCTAATAACAAAGCATACAATGAACACATAATAAAAAGGAAAAATGCTCTCACTTTAACTGGTTCTGTCATTTCCTCTGCTTTTCTTTTTTTGGATGGCTCCTGATCACTTTCCTCATGTTTGATCTTCTTAATTTTAAATTTGTCAGCTCTGAAAGGAGGGAGGGCAGTGATGAATGAAAGGTCAAGTCTGGGTAGGAAAGGATGTAGGAATCAAAGTCATTTGTTGCAAGGATGGTTAAGAATTGGGGGAATAAATGAATGATCAATGAGTGGAATGAAGAAAAAGAAAAAAAAAAAAAAAAAAGAAAAAAGAAGAGAATAAATCTATTAGCATAAACATTTTTTTATAAATTTTATGAAAGAACATTTTCCAAACCATCCAATTTATAATAGATTTTGCATCAGTCGTTACTGGTTAACAATATTTATAATCATTCAAGCATCAAAGTGATTTATGCACAACATTTTTCATTGTAAAATTATTCCAATTTTATCAACTATCCTGGAGAGGAAATTAAATAATCAACATGAAAATATTCAACAGTGGTATAGAATCAGTCATAATCAAATTTAGGAGTGTTGCTTAAACTGATCTCATCAGTAAAAATCCAATCAATTAGATAACATCAAAGTTGAAAGAAAATTCTTTTTAAATTCTTATTTTCATTATATCTACTTAATACCTATAAACTACTTACCTTTCTTGTAAAGGTTCATCATCACTTTCAATCTTATTTTTTTTAAGAGGGGTTCATCAGGTTTTCTTTTATCTGAAGCAAATTATATATAATATATATATATATATATATATATATATATATATATATTATACACACAAAAAAAAAAAAAAAAAAAAAAAAAAAGAAAGAAAGAAAGAAAGAAAAAAAAAAGTGAATAAAATACACAGGAATGCTTTGAAAAGTTTTGTCTCACCGAAAATTAGACCAAACATTAAAATTCTTTTTGAAGTGTGACTAAGTTGAACCTTTTTAGCACCCTCTCATACATATATGTACACTTAGTTTATCCTTTGGTTTGTTAAATAAAAATTAAGATGAAAGAAAATTAATAGTTAATAATAATAATGACAACAGCTCATTTAAAAATGTAGACAATATTATTGCTAACTAATATTAACTTAGTAAATAGAGCAATTGATTTTAATAATAAAAATATATTGCAGATAATCAAATTCTGTTCAGAAATGAAGAGTACAAGTCTTGCTTAATTCTTTAACAGAAATATTCTCTATAACAAATTCACTGTGAAATAATGATTAACAAGTTAATTGGATTTTGTACAAATACAACCTTACATGAAAAATGTCTACTTCAGTCAAACAATAGCAAACTTGCAATACATACCAAAGGAACATCATCATCACTCTCTGGTTCACGCTTCACTTTCACTGGTGTTTTTGTTGGTGACAGCATGTTGTTCATTTGGGGATGTTCTTGCTTGATAGATACAGTCTCTGACTTGACCATACTAGGTTTGGCTTCCTTGTGCTCAGACTTGTCCTTCATCTTTTCACGGTGTTCATGCTTTTCTCTTTTGCGCTCCTCACTTGTCTTTTCAGATTTTACTGTTGAGGAGTCACTAGGCTTGATTTCCTTGTGCGAGCTGCTACTGCCATCTTTGCTTTTATGTGAACTTGATTTGTCACGATGCTTTTCACTTGAAGAGCTTTTCTCTTTGTGCCGATCCTTGTGTTTGTCCGATGATGAGCTGTGTTTGTCCGATGATGAACTGTGTTTGTCCGATGAGTTGTGTGAGCTACTTTTAGATGAACTATGTTTGGAAGATTCCTTGTGTCTGTCCTTGTGTTTGTCCGAGTGTCCGTCCTTATGCTTGTCCGAATGCCCATCCCTGTGCTTAACTGAGTGTCCATCCTTGTGTTTGTCTGAGTGCCCATCCCTGTGCTTGTCCGAGCTAGAGGAGGACTTCTTATGTTTATCGGAATGTCCATCCCTGTGCTTGTCTGAACTGGAGGAATGCTTAGAACTATGGCCATCTTTGGACTTTGAAGATGAGGAATGTCCATCCTTTACCTTAATATGATTGCTTGCATTAGAATGGTTGTTCATACCACTATGATCATTTAACTTCATTTTCAAATCTGGTAGAAAAAAAAAAAAAAAAAAATTTCAAGTATATCAAATTCAATGATGCATATAAAATATTGTGAAAACTGTCATATATATATATATATATATATATATATATATATATATATATGCCTGTATGTTCCAAGTTATGGGTCAGTTTTACCCCTAGGAAACTGAAGTATGAATTTGGCATCGGTACATCTTTTCAAGGTGAAGGTATGAGCCTATTGATTTTCTAAGTAAGTGTATCAAAAAAGGCTTTTCAAATATTTAGAAATTTTTGCAGATTCTCTTAAAACAAATCACTTAAATATTTTAATTGATTTAACTTAATTACGACTATTTTTTTTTTTCAGAAAAGAGCAAATAGTATAAAAATATCAAAATGTAAATAGTCTAACATAAATCTAAACAAAAAATTTTGTTTTGTGTGCAGAATCAGGTGGGAAAGAGAAGAAAGATGAAATAATTCTCAATGATTTTCTGTTAATAAAAAAAAAAATGAATGCAAAAATCCAGCCATGTACTCAGTTTACTACAAAATCTTTTGTTTAAAACATCAAGACCACTGAAGCACAGTACTTAATGGAGGTGGACATTTTGAATATTAGATCTATTAGAGTGATTTATTCCATTTCTTTGTGGTTGCTTATGGATTTGTGAATTCAAAAGTTTGTTTATATCTCTCCAGTGGTTAATTTGTAAAAAAATACAATATTCATAGCCTACAATTAAATGTTTTTATGTTCTATGAACTAAAGGTTTCTCAAGCAGCATTAGTAGGTAATGGAGATAATGGTAAACCACAAACAAAACAACTAAGACAAGAGTAAATGTACAAATGAAGGGATGAACACTAACTGGCACAAAGGGTAGAGAACACTTAAATATTTCAATTTTGGAAGAGATGTTTTCCAGTTCTGGCACTATTTGCAGAAAGAATTTTTTTTTAACTACATCATTTAATACTAACTGTAAGTTTTAGTGGCTACAAATAATTGATATCAATTAACCACCACCCAAAAAAACCCCAGATTATCAACTTTTTGGGGGTTATAATCGAAGTACTGACTGGGCTCAATGCTGTTTAACTGTGATTGAATGAGAACTGGTGTTTTCAGCATGATTTGACTGTAGGTAAATATAATTGACAAGTTTTAGTAAATGCCTAAATTCCTAAGATGCATAAATAAAAAATCAGTAATTTTCCAAATAATGGCAGCCCAATTTAGAAAAATAATTTTAAATAACCTCTTATTTCTACATAGCATTAAGATTCTACACAGATTTTTCCTTTTTGCTTTTAGTAATTAAAAAATTATGTTACATCTAATGACAATTTTGGTAGTTATTTCACTTTTATATACCTTTAATAAAAGATAGGGAATACGTGTACACACATTTACATGAAACTTAAAAAGCACTTTGATATATTGTAAAATTAGTTAGAGACAGCTGATATAAATATCAACTATCAGATAACAAATCAGTACATGCTAAATTTCCCTATAGAATAAAAATATAGGTTAAATTCATTTTCTCTTCAGCCTTTATCAACCAACAAAGATGTGGTATGCTGCATATTCCTAACTGTTCTCCCACATGAGAACAAGTAATAAGTTCAAGAGCAGGTAGCTGAAATGCCAGTGTCATTGACAAAGTGTGTGTGAGAGAGAGAGAGAGAGAGATACTTATTTTTGCTTGAGGCTTTGTAGGTTTTAGTTGTAAGAAAGTAGAAATATTCAGTTAAAAGAGAAAGTATAGGAGGCTGGCAGTTAAACAAGCTGCACTTGTCCTTTTTCTACCAATGGGTAAGTAGCAGGAGGAGCAACTAAACAGATGTATATCATATAGACATGAATAAATTAGGTTACATTTATTTCCGTAAGTACATGATAGCTATTGTTTTCAGGCAATACTTTTGCCATGCTCATCTCCATACACAATTAGGTGCTTAACAAAATTATTTACATAAGCACACAAAAGATTGTTTTTTTTAACATAGTAAGTTTTCCAGTAGATACTCACTATACACAAGATTTTACCCATACTGTTAAAAATAAAACAATATTTAAGTAATTTTTAAAAATTCTTTTGGTTATATTTTCTGCATGAATAATCTCCGGTGTCCATACAAAAATTACTGTTGCTTCTAAGAAATGCTTAAACTTTTTAATTCATTAAAAAAATAAAAATATCCAAAGAAATCTAAGAGTTAAATAAAAAACAATGTATTAATAGTCTGATCTCCCTTACGAATGAGAATCTGTTGTTTCCATAATGGAATATGTTATATCAAATAGGGTAGATAAGGCAAACTTCCATCTCACCCTGCTTATTATACTAACACCTGTTGCACAATCAAAGTACATTGAGATATGTACCAAGAAAAGGATATAATTTAGTTAGAAATTCACAATAGGCTTGAAGATACATTGATCATATTATATACAAATGCATGCATACACTGTTTAATGCAAATATACTGTGTTTTCATATTGTATTAATACTTATACAAATGATCATCAATGCTATCATCATCTGATGGAGGTGATAATGCATGTAAGTGGAGTTAGACACATGAGCATCTTATTTTTAACCCCACCATCCAAAACTTAAGTAGTTAATGGACAACTAAAAGAAAAGTGGGGAAAGAACACAAAAGTAGCAGAGTTGTTAGCCCATGTGCTTGTCAACTAGAGAGCACTACTGCTAGATAATGAGACCTGCCTGCCAACATGACCCATGCAAAACTGACAGAATTCAATTGATATGCATGAACTATGTCAGTACCCGGACAGTACCCAGAAGGAAAGAATGAACTGAAATGATAACCCACAAAAGATTCTCTCTGTATTCCCAGTTCGAGTCAACAATATAAAACTGTGCACCATCAGTTTCAGAACAGTGAAAGGAAATGTGATGAGAGACTGCAGGACTAAATTGACAGAAGTGCTAACCAGATCAACATCTTTAATTAAACAGCCCTACATATTTGTTAGCCAACTACCATCTCTTAAAAAGACCTAATTTTTTTGTTTTTTGAAATTAATTTTCACTTGATATGAACCAATGTAAACAAATACTTTCCAAAATAGATACTAGTAGGAAAGAGAAATAAATTTTTTAACATTTGATCAGGTTAGAATGTTATTTTTTATGTGAACATTTTAAAATGTAGTATCATCTAATAGGTGCACTGTAATTTGACATTTGGTTGCTATCTGAATGTAAAAATGGTCATTTTCTTTGTGAAACACTTGTTATCTCATAGTTAAGAGTTTTTTAAATGATTAATTATATGAAGAACATTTGGTAAAGTATAAAATCATGCAAAACAACTAAAAAAAAAAAAAAAAAAAACACCAAAACACTTTCACAAGTAAACGGGTATTCTGGCCTCCACAAGCAAGTATTTCACAAAAAAAAAAAAAAAAAAAAAAAATTAAAGAGAGACAAAGGTTTTTTTTTTATTCTTTGAATAGATTAATATAATGGTGCTTATTGCAGATACAAGTTATCAACCTTCTATCTTGTGTATATAGGTGGCAGTAGACTTGTTCATCCCTTACAGTCTTGTATTAACCACAATGTTTAAATCAACTCCAATTCCTACACTGGAGACCTTATATACCATTGATTAAAAGCATTTTCATTTTGCAAATATGGAATATAAATTTATACAAAATTTAAAGCTACATATTCATTTGCATAAAGAAAATAGAATACCAGAAATAGTTATGCAGTAAAGAACTAAAAAGTTCTGTAGTTAGATATTAGTAGATGAGGTTTCAGGTCTTTGTATTGATGTTTAAATGACAATGGTTACCACATATTGAATTTACCCTCCTCAAGGAAAATAAATCTCAAACTCAACAACTAATGATCATAGCATACATTAAATAATTTTTTTTGTGGAAATTTTGTAGTTTTGAGGTGGTGATAAACTGATATACCAAATAAAAAAAATGAACATAGAATAGGCTGTTCTAGGAATAGTTTCACCCAACACTGCGAATTGCTACAAAACCTGAAAACTTGTGTATTATTCTTAAATACCTTGTCAGATAAAAGACCTTCATGTGGATATCATGCATGTTACCAAACTCATTCAGAAATATCTAAACAGCTAGCAATATACAATCACTTTCTAAGATCAATGGTTAAAAATGGTTTCAAGCGAGTGAAGCTTGTGCATAGCACACAACTCAAAGAGAAAACAATGGCATAATCAAGATGTTGACATTCCCCACTACTTCAAATAAAAGGTTACAAAGGAAAACGACATCAATGATGGAAAGAGTGATAACAGTTACTGGAATTGAAAAACATTTTCCAGAAAAATTGTTTTAAAAAGAAAGATTTTTATAAATTTCTTTAAAACAACCTAGTTTACATTCCTTGAGCATTCCCTATTAAAAAGTAATTCAATTCACAGTACTTAAGTTAAGATTTAGGATTTTCCCAAAGGTAGAATCCAAGGTGACAGAACAGCCAATCATATTTTGAATATGTAAAACAAAAATGTACTGACAAACATTTGTTAATGCTATTGCTCACTTAATAGCAGACTCAAGAGCCACTCAAAGTAGAAGGTTACTGAATGAGTTTGTTTTATGGATGTAATAATAGTAGATTATGAGGATATATAGGATAGATAATAGCTGATACCAAACTTGAAGTTAAGATTGTAGTGGTCTTTGGAGTTTGTTCCACAGGGCAGTAGATCTTTGGAAAAAGCTGTCTGAATAGAACTTCCTAATAGAATATGAAGGGTAGAAAATAATTTATTACTTACAAGGCTGTTTTTGAAATCTTTCAAGGCTGGAAAAGGTGTATTGAGTAGCTCCAGCCTAGATATGACATCAAGTTACCATTTTTGGTCTGATCTAATTCTTGTAAAGATAAAGTATAGCAGATTGAATCAGGTACTTTCTGGAGTGGTATAAGGAGCCAAGCTTTTTTCCAGCATCTTTCATAATTGTACAGAGATATATTGTTCAGCTTGAGG